CAGCTACTATTGGCACCTGTGAATTATCTCGTTAAATACATAATTTTTGATATAAAACAATAAAAATCACTTTCTAGAAAGCAAATTTATTAAAAAGTTAAGCGATTGGATTGCTTTTATACCCAAAAAGTGCTCAATATCGAAACATTACATGTAAATGGCTGTTTACATTGTGTTTTTCATGTACTGGTATTCGAATGATGCATTAAGTGCTATAGGACAGATTGGACAGCTAAGTGGGTAAATTTAACTTTAATTCAACTTTATTTAATGCACGAGACACAAACAATGTGCTCTAAATGAATTATTTCCATGGAATTAGTCAATAACTAGCAAATTCATTTTGTAGATGCTACAATTGGTTTCTGTAAAATTTTGACACAGGCGACTTTTTATTTGTGTAAATGCGACAACTGGTTTACGTCTCAGAGACTATTGGTTTATGTTACTTTACGTGAATATTATAAAATTCTTCAAAATTGCATGAAAAGAATAATAGTTTTTGTAGTTTGTAGTCATTTCTGACCATTTCTTGAAGCAATACGAAATGTTATATCAATTCTTCTTACGGATATTGTGTTTTTGGTTATGTTCTTTTGTTACTTTTAAATAGAGTGATATGGTATAAATGAGCAAGATGATGACACCAAATAATTTAAAGTTGCACCAGGTATACATATAAGAATGTCGTGATCAAGCAATCAAACTTTTTAAAGCAGTAAACGAATGCATAATGGTAATATTTTTCCTTCCAATTTATATTTATTCAAAGCACGATGTAAGCATCTTTAGAATTGTGTTGCATGTAGTCTACCTTTATCCAGTAACATGTTAGGCACGTAGTATGCAATTTGGGGTGTACATATGTACTTTATTTTCTGAAAATAGTCTTTTGCTTTAGTTTTGATTCATGTTATAATTTTTTATGTAGACATGTTCCCCCTCCAACTTTTTTGTAACCATAAGGTAGCTGCATTTCTGTAACTGGCTGGTCTTAGAAAAAAAATGAGATAGATGACCGAAGTGTTACAGTGCCACCCGAACAAAAAATCTGTTAAAAAATTGCGCACAAAAGCTGCGATTGGCACTGGATTAATTCCTCCAAATTCTTATCTCAACTGCACAAAAGCTAAAAAGAATTATGACCTCTAGACTTCCTCACGAAGCGTGTTGCAATTGAAACGATTTGTCTCTTGTCATCTTAAAAATGACAGTAAAAATGCGAAATTAGATGGTCTCAATTTCATGGAAGGTTGTTGTTTGTTGTAAAAATAGTAAGTTGAAATTGTAAAAGAATTTATTTGGAACATCCAGTTAGAAATATTTTTAGAATATGACAGTTTGAAATCGAGAAGAGCGTACTTTTGTGCACAATAAATACCGATATACATTTTTTCCAGCTCTCCCGTCTTCGAACAGATACAGTTCTGCAGCTAACCGTAAGGTTCGCAAATCCAGCCGTTGTCATCTACGCTGGTCAAGGGTTTCTAATACGCTACTCTCCTCAGTTTATGAGGAAAGTAGCGTATGAAAAACCCTTGGATAGCAAAGATAGTCGTTGTGGAAAATGGAATAGTTAGAGAAAGGTCCCCAGAAAGGTCCGATAAAACAGGACTGTTCTTCCTAGCTGCAGTACGGCAGCGTTATTGTTTTATATTTAAGTCTTTATAGCCAAAGATAAAAAAAAATGAAACCATAAGTTAGCACTACAGTTCTGGAGCTGTGTTTTTCCGATTGGGCATTTTTTTTGTTGGATTGTCAATCACCTACGGCTCACATCCTTCCTACATATACATTGAAAAATAATGTCACGGGTCTGCTTGTTTAATAAATAGACCGCTGTCTTTATGTCATTCAAATATAATATTTTGTTGAGATATTAAACTATTCCATACAAGTTAATTATCGGAAATACTTAAAGCCTCCATGCCATCTTTCCAAGTCAAAGGTTAAAACTATTCATGGAGGGGATATAAAAGTAAAACACTCTTACATGCATCAACGTCTAATCCCTTCAAAACATGTAGGGTCATGATTCTCATTCTTATTAAAGAGAGGTCAATCTTTTTTCCTTCGGGGGGAGGGGGTATTCAAAGGTCTTTTTGTTTATTCGGCATGCATAGAATGTTGGTAACTTTAAAGTTCTAGATAGTCAATCGAAGATGACTTACAACATGAATCTGAAATTATTAAAACTGAACTTTGGGAGAGAGCCTTAATGAACATATACTCCAGTAACATATTTTAGTAAAGCATGTTCATGATTTTTAAGAATGTTATCCAATATAAACTAACCAAAGTGAGTTTGCATTTTTGAGTCCTTTATTTTTTTTTCAGATAAAAGAACAATTTTTTTTGGCGGGGGGGGGGGGGGGGGGGGTATATATATGCATTACATTTTTAATATTTGATAGAAACAACCAATCCTCGAATTGGAGGTATGTGTTTTGGGGATTTATTAAAAAAAAGATGCACTACTTGATGTGTCGATATTAAATTTAGATGTATTTCTCGGAAAACAATACATTTATGATACAGCAGTAAAACGTCGCACCTTATGAAACAGAACAGAAGTCAAACGTAGCAATTACACGTGCCAAGAGTCGCACATACAGCAACCATACTCTCAATGTTTTCAGAAAACTTTATATTGCATCAAAAGTTTTAATCTTGTGAAACATTAAAGAATTAGGAAATCATAAATGATTCATATAGTATATACCCATATCACTTTTAACACAAACATTGTAGCGTTAATCGAGTTTAACACGTTCAAAGCAAATATGAATAATCTAGTAAAATACATTGAACGGGCGTAATCTAAAGCAGTTACTGGATTGCTCCTTATATGTATTCAACCAACAAGCAATTGCACAACATTAAGCCATACTGAACATTAATAATTACGTCTTAATCAAATGTTCTATCATTTCTGATCGTTTAGTTGACATAAACTGCCTCATTGATGTAAACCAATAGTAGCTGGTGTCCGAAACCAAGATTTTCTCGATTCGCACTTTACCAGCAGTGATAAGTAGACAAGGCATTATTTCAAAATCAAAGTTGTTTGTCAAAGTACTTAAATGACCTGTGGAATTAAATAATGTCTCATAAAAGTTCAGCCTTTCAAAAATAAACTTTTTGTTTAGCAAATTAGCATAGGTACTGAGTTTACCTGTTAAGAAATGAGCCAATGAGTTCCAAATACCCTGAATTAAAAATATCTGTCCCACACATTATCTTTATGGCCCTGACCCCTGTTCCCCAATCTTTATGACCCTAACCCATGTCCCTCAATCTTAATGGCCCTGACCCCTGTCCCTCAATCTTTATGACCCTGACCCATGTCACTCAATCTTTATGACTCTGACCCCTGTCCCTCAATATTTATGGCCCTGACCCCTATCCCCCAACCTTTACGACCCTGACCATCGATCTTTATGGCCTTGAGCCCTGTCCCTTAATCTTTATGACGGTAACCCCTGTCCCTCAATCTTTATGACCCTGACCACTGTCCCCCAATCTTTATGACCCTGACCCATGTCACTCAATCTTTATGACCCTGACCCCTGTTCCATAATCTTTATGGCCCTGACCCCTATCCCCCAACCTTTATGACCCTGACCCCTGTCCATCAGTCTTTACAATCCTAACCCCTGTCCCTCAATCTTTACAACCGGTGACCCTGTCCCCAAATCTTTATGACCCTGACCCATGTCACTCAATTTTTACAACCCTGACCCGTGTCCCTCAATGTTTATGGCCCTGACCCCTATCCCCCAACCTTTACGACCATGACCCCTGTCCCGCAATCTTTATGACCTTGACCATGTCCTCAATCTTTATGACCCTGACCCCAGTCCCCCAATCTTTATGGCACTGGCCCCTATCAGTCAATCTTTATGGCCCTGGCCCCTGTCAGTCAATCTTTATGGCCCTGACCCCTGTCATTCAATCTTTATGGCCTTGACCCCATCCCCCAACCATCATGACCCTGACCCTGTCCCTCAATTTTCATGGCCTTGACCTCTGTTCCTCAATCTTTTTGACCTTAACCCCTGTCCCTCAGTCTTTATGGCCCTGATCCCTGTCCCTCTTTCTTTATGGCCCTGACCCTGTCCCTCAATCTTTATGGCTCTGACCCCTGTCCCTCAATCTTTATTACCCTGATCCACATTCAGTCTTTATGGCCTTGAGCCCTGTCCCTCAATCTTTATGACCCTAACCCCTGTCCCTCAATCTTTACAACCCTGACCCATGTCCCTCAATCATTATGACCCTGACCCCTGCCCCTCAATCTTCATGGCCCTGACCCCAGTCCCCCAATCTTTATGGCCCTGACCACTGTCCGTCAAAAGTAGCATGAGAGCTCTATCAGGACTAAGCAGAAGCTATTTACACCAAAGGTACTAAATAGAATATACAATAAATTCTAATCTGTTGAATAATTTGAGGTTAAATTTACTGATTAAAATGTATTAAAACTTGAATTTAACTTGAAAAAAGTTAGGAGTGATAAATTAAGAAAGACTAGAGTAAATACTCTGTTAATAATATTAAATAATTCATTATCTTTCTTGTTCAAGTTGTTGTATTTTTCATTTCCTTGTATAAATTCTTCTTGCTTTAGGTGTCTACATTTATCAATCCACAACAGTTATCATAAATACAATACATTTAAAATAAATACAATTCATTTAAAAAAGGTTATGTATAATGTTTGATTTGAGATAAAAGTTTATGGGCTATGTTTATAAAGGAACAGCAAAATGTTTTGCAAAAAACAAGGAAATAGCATTTGTCTTAATATCTGTTGAGTGGCTCTCTTTTTAACCTAGGAGCTCAAGTAACTGGTCCTACTTTTAGCTGTCCCTCAGTACTTTTCTACTTAATATGATATTATGAAGTGATTCTAGGTAATGGATCGAATTCGATTTCAGTTCACATGAATTAATTTTTTATCTATATTAGATTTATGAATGGAAGTCTCATATTTACAGGCTCAGCTGATAGCCCAGTCCATAGGACAAGCCTTTCAGGTGGCTTATATGGAATTCTTGAAAGCCAATGGAATTGAGGATCCTTCTTTGATGAAAGAAATAGACTATCAAGAAGTTCTGAATCAGCAAGAAATATACGGAGAGGAACTCAACCTCTTCTCAAATAAGGAGCGCCAGAAAGAGGTAAACAAAAAAAACAAACTATGGAAAAGAACAATAGCTGGTAAACTAGAGTTACCTAAATACATACATGTACTTTATTAATTAGTATGAATATTAATGGATATATATACTAAAAATTAAAGGATAACTTTAGTGAGAAGTATTCCACATATTTTATGCATTTATAACGTACGTTCAAAATGTTTCTATTTGCATATCAACTGCTCTCTCTCACTATGAACATGAAGTCATTAACTGCGTTCATAGCACTATAGACGCAACTGCTCCTGCTATGAGTGCAAATGCTCTATCACACTCGTGTAGAACAATCTCTACTACATTTAGAATCCGAGTTGAGAAGTATATATATGAAATGTTTTATAAGAGCAATAAAAATAAGTTTTTAATAATATTCTTTGAAAAAAAGGAAATTCAGAATATCTAAAATTGCTGATTTATATCTTTAAAAATTTAATTTTGGTCAATGTATTTAATTGTATAATAAAACTTTTTAAAAATTGTAGAGAACTGCCATATTTTTATTTTTTGTATCATGCATATTTGAACAAAGAACGATAACTCTTCACACTTGGGTAAAAACATTCAGAAAGAAAAAAAATTCTTTAACTAGTATATCTATTTCAAGAATGATTTCAGCTATTAAAAATAAATAGAAAAACTAAAAAAAAAATTATAGAAAAGCATTCTGGAGTAATAATCATTATAAAAGCATTCTCATTTTTCATCATAGTGTTAAATTATTGATTTTGGTCAGAGGGTTTAAATAACGTTGATCGATGACGTCAAACTGCATCAAAACAAAAATGTTATGACGGCGCTGCTTGTATCCAGATAACTGTGTTTGAGAGGGAAATACTTTACAAATATGTTTGTGATTTATTAGAAAAAAGGAGTATTAATCAGGTTTACTGATTTTAACGCCGTATGTTTTTCTTCACTGAAGACAAGAAGCTGCGTCCTTATGTAAGTCAGGATTTCCTCTGATATTCTTGAAAAAATCAAAGAATGCAAATATAAGTAATAAACAACGATTATTCAGTGAACATGGCATTATGAATAGCAATAGCTCTGCTGGCATATTTTCCATGATGCGCTAGCGCGCATCATGGAATATGCCAGCAGAGCAATTGCTATTCATAACGCCATGTTCACTGAATAACGTTGTTTATTTCTTAATTAAAACCACATTCTTGTGCATCATGAACTTATTTTTTGACCATGTCTTGAAAAAAAGGACAAAATATTTAATGTGTGATACATGTACTGTGATATTTTTTTCTGTGAAGGCTCTTTGCTATGCAAAATAGAAAATGCAGGAAAGCTATTAAATGAAGTTAATTTGTTAAGGTTATAGACTAATCTCCTGACAGTTAATAATGAGGGGGTGGATTTATGGGGTATACATAAAATTACCTGACTGATTCTTTGAGGGAATATGAAAAATAATTACCAGCTTGGCTCTGAATACCTTTGAATAAAAAGGTAAAAAAAAAATCAATAAAGGATTTATCCACATAAACCATTATATTTCAGTTGATAACAACAACACCGAAATTTGGTTTTTATTTTTTCCTCAATTTTTCTGACTTTATAGTAGTTATTTATTCAGTTATGGCTTCATTATTTTGAAGTACATGTAGTACAAACTTTATTGAAGATGAGGATGCGACATTTTATACAATTGATTTAAGGGGTAGTGAGGTTAACCTGAATGCCAATTATGTTAAGTGTTTAAGGAAGATTTCAATGCAATTAATCCAGACTATTGCAGTTTTTAATAATTAAAGACCACAAATGGAGTTTTGAAATCAGCTGTATTTGATAACAATTTGTCTGCTCATGAGTACTCAGTATTCATGAATTGTAATAGTAAGGTGTCTGTCAATTTGTTCATCTGACTGTCTGTAAACATTTATTCTACCGTAATTGCTATTTTTCCTTCAGTTATGGTCTGGTTTCAGTGTTACATGACACACAAGTAGAGTATACACTAAGATACATAATGTTACATAGTGATTTTTTATTGAAACTATTACCAGCCTTGTTCATTTTGAAGACAATAAAATACAGTTGAACTTCAATATATCAAACACAGATATCTCAGATACAGTGGATATGTCAAAAGTGATTTTTAAGTATTAACCCCTCATTTCCTAAGTATTTTACCCTGGATATTGCAAATTGTTGGATATCTTGAATCCTTTTCTTGGTCTCACTAAATTCAATGTTACGAGGTTTGACTATTTATAAAAGGATGATCAATTCATTACAATTCTTATTTCTTGTGTTGATCATAATGTTCAAGAGAACAGTATTCTTGCAACACTATCCTTGCCATCATTACTTATCGACAGGAAATGAAAATCTGTCTTTTCACATAAATGACATTGATAACCGAGCTTCAGGAAGTATTAAATGGATTCTTGTAGGTAGAAAAGACATTGATCTGCTAGGATTGGGTTTATAATCCAAGGGATTTTGTATCTTTTATTGTTCTTGATACCTAAAATCAACATTGAATGATTGAAGCTGTAGCCAGTAGTATCTAATGCTGAATGCTTATTAAGAAAAAAACTCAGAAAAATGTGAATAAAAAGTTGAGGCTTCAATTTTTTATCATAGGTTAATGGCATCTTAGAACTTCATTTATATTTTATGTTGGCAAAGGTTGTTCTTTCATTTCTGTCAATATCAGTATCTCTCATGCCACTCAGTCTTACATTAAGTTTCTTTTCTGTAGTTTGAATCATTATTTGGAATGGGAATTATTGATTCTTTAATCATGGAATTACTTTCAACAGTTTTAAGAGCATTTTCTCATTAGGCTGTTTTTAAGTCACCTGCCCAGTCACTATATTAAGGATCGTTTCCATTTTTGTATCTTTCATTCATTTTCAGGTTCCCTAGGGGTCTGTTGTCATGTTGATAGGAAGGGAAATTTTGGCATCAGTGGGCTTATTGATTGAATACAAAATAAAAGGTTTATACTTACTGCTAAGCTAATGGGAAAATTTAATAAAACAGCACATTCAGGTAGTAATTAAAGCTTTGTGGACAATAATTGATTCTTGTGGATCAAAAATTAGGATAAGAAAAATATCTGAATGCAATGCAAATTTTAAGTTTTCTCTTATTAAGCAATATTTTTAGAAACTTTCATAGAATGGCATGTAGAGCTGCAAGGTTTATAATTTAGAGAAAAAGATAATGACAAAGTTGTGTTAAGTGCATGGGGACAGTCAGGTTTATTGTTTATATTTTGCCTATGGCTGTGTTCTTGATGGAGATGATTGCAGATCCAAAAATAAAATGTACTATAGCTGTGGGAAGAAAACTTTCATGAAGGATAAGTCACTTTCTAAAGCATTTTACAAATTTTCTAGAAATAATGGAGATACTGTTATTAAGTTGGTATCAAAGCCCTTGATAGAGTTGAAGAAGCAAGTCAATCCCCAGTAAATATAAGCCCTACCTTGACTTAACTTGGGTGGATGATGCATCTATGGATGTTTATTACCAGCCATACATCAGATGTTGATATGACTTAATTTTCCTGGACAAGTGACTGGGTTTAAAGAATGACTGCACTTAAGCTATGAGAGTTGGATCCCGATGTTTTGCGCAAAAGAAAATTCCAAAATTCATTAAATTTATGTTTTATAGGTATTAAACAATATCATAAGATCAGGTTTTGGTATATTATATTACATGAAAGTATTAAATAATGCCGAGTGACACTAGCTTTTGAGACGGGGGTCTAACAGTTTTGTCTCATTTCTATTGTTATTCATATGCATACCAGTTTTCAACAACTTTGTTTACATCAAGCTGCAACTTGGCCATGTTTCTTATTTGCACAGATTGTGTATTTTAACTTAAACTTATACATATCCAAAGGACAACGTTGGCCAAGTTGCGGCTCATATCTAATTTTAAAAAAAATGTCCCAAAACTAGGGTTGAGATAGCTACTAAATTAACCGGTCACCGAGCATCAACGATTGATATTATAATCACCTTTCTCGCGTGACCTTCTGCTGTTCGATACGCTAACGCTTTCATTGAAAATTTCATTTTGTTTAAGTCTGTTGTGACTGTATTTATCGTACTTCCAACTTCAAATATTGGAGATTTTTCCGCAAATTTTAATAGGGTTTGAAGATAATATGTCTCTTATTTAACTTTATGCTTTTCATTAGGGGTTTTTGAAAGAATTCTGATATTGACAGTGTCATTAGCAAGTACATGTATAGGCTTATGTCGCTTCTGTATTATGGTCTGCAGGGCGAGACATCTACCCCATCCCTTAACATTAGAATCATTTAATAATTGTGCACCATAAAATCAACACGATCTCTCTCTCTTCTCCATTTCAAAAATCATATGTGCTAAGTTTACATTCCACAACCATGCGTTTAAATGTCTCCGCCTATTTGCGGATACCTTAGATTCGAAAGTGGTCCCATTCAAATTTCCGGAATTTAAGCCTTTTACGTGTTCTTTTCAATTACATTTTCTGTAATTATAGGAATATGTATGACAAAAAATTCTAGAAATAAATATCAAAAGCATATGCTTGGACATTAATCATAGATTAATTTAGCGATATATTGTAATGTAAGCTTAAAATGGGTAGCCGAAAAGGTTCCAAATGACGTACTTAAGTGCACTCATTCTTTTAGGATCAGGTTGAACAGGTAAATGAACAGGTTTAAGACCTAGAGCTGGTCTATTCTCAAGTAACTATAGGTTCTATAATGATTAACCTTGCATTGATTATGCATGTTACTATGAATGTACACTACAAGATAAGTTTTGGAAGTGGGATCTTATAGAACAGTTCAAGTTTTTGGAACTCGTTTTCAAATATCTAGATATCCTACTTTGACCAAGCTTGTGTATCGGTTTATATTTTTTAGGAATCACATTCATATTCACTTAGTTTCAGACTCGAAATTCTCCTTCTCTTTGTTGCAGTAGGAAATTTGTAAGGATATTAAAATCAAGGGGTCAAAGTCAAATTAAAATATGTATTCACCGATTGAAAAACAAATGAAAAAAGAACTAAAAATATAGAAACCAAATTGAAAGTTTTATTTAAATGTGTTAATTGCAGGTGATTGTGCCAAAATTGAAAGGAGAAAATATAGGAATTGTGATTGTGGAGTCCGGCTGGGGATCTATGGTGCCCACAGTGGTTCTGGCTAACATGTACCCCACAGGTCCAGCGGCGCGATGTGGCCAGCTAAATATTGGGGACCAGATTATCTCCATAAATGGAATCAGTCTGGTGGGACTTCCTCTGTCAGCTTGTCAAAGTTACATAAAGGTACAGCATCAGTCAACTACTGGCCAAACCTTTATTTCACATCATGTATGAATGGTCAAATTTATATTAACCTTACTTAGCAACTTATCTGACTTGCATCAACTTGGCAAACTTGATTAAACTGAAGCATCAATTTGTCAATCTTACAATAGGCTGTACACATAATGAACTTCATTAATCTGTTACATCAACTTTTTAAATTTAAATATTGTACAACATATTTAATTTGCGATCAAGGAACAACCCCAAATTTTAGAATTATACTGCTGAGTATTTTTTGCAACAAACCATATTGGAATTCTATTTTAGAGTTGTTTCCTCAGTCCTAAAAATGAATAGTCTTGGATGGATTTCAGACTGAACAAATCAGAAATGAAATTTGTTACAAATAATTGTTGATTTACATTTATATATATATATCATTTAGATATTTAGATATATTGACGTTTTATCATCAGTTACCATTACCAACTTTCACAGAGTCTGCCAAATTTGTTTGATATTTAGATTGTCTACTGACTAGACAGTAAGGGCCAAATATATATAAATAGTATGACAAATGAGATGAATTCAACTTTACATCATGAACTTTACTTATTTACATAGCAATATCCCACTTACATTTGCATATACTGTTTACATCTCTCAGCTTATTTGATACTCAAGAGAATGCTCTGTGTAGGATCAATCTTTAAATCGAGGCAAGCTACTGACATATAAGTTCATGTTACAGGGATTTCCACAACCTTTAATTTTAATGTCAGTTTTCCCTTAATTCTATGATTTTTAAAATGAGCTTGTGTCTCAAAAAACGTTATTAGACCAAGCTATATTTGTGAAGCATTAAAATTAAAAAAAACTGGAGGCTTCTTTCATTTACTAGATCTTGACCTTTTGTTTATGTAGAAAGTAACAGCAATTGATTTCCATGCTTTCATACATTCTGTTTGTTAATCCAGTCTTCATTGTTTACAGAGTAGTAAGAATCAGACGGTGGTCAAGTTAACCGTTGTCCCTTGTGCTCCTGTGGTTGAGGTCCTGATAAAGCGGCCAGACGTCAAGTATCAGCTGGGATTTAGCGTACAAAATGGAGTGGTATGTTTTCATTGAGATACAATATCTCATTTATAAAGGTTTTATAAATGCAAATGAAGTTTCCTCTTTATTTGACTCACCTGAGTTTATTCTGGACAAGTTCAGGGGCACAAGGTTTAAAGGTGTATGAAGTTATTGTTTAAGCTACAACTTTGGATTTAGAAACAAAAGAAGATTATGATTTAAAATATGTTAATTGAGAGTCAAATAACAACTAAATATACATGTACATGCATAAGTATACATTGGTTTTTGTACAAATGATTTATCTTAAAATATAATTGTATTGTGTATTTGAGAATCATAGTTAAAAATTAGTCATTAAGTGTGTTATTCTACTTTGAATATTTATTTCATTAAGGAACATTTAGATATGTTTAGTTGTAAACAAAATACTTGATAGATTGTTATTGCCTTGTCAGATCTGCAGTCTGTTGAGAGGAGGAATAGCAGAGAGGGGAGGAGTGAGAGTGGGACACAGGATTATAGAAATCAACAATCAGAGTGTTGTAGCTGTCCCGCACGAAAAAATCGTCTCTCTACTAGCCAACTCTGTAGGAGAGGTAAGGGCCAAGCCCAGAAATTTTTAATGTGTCTTACACTTATTGAAAATTTCTGGAAATATGTCATACTTAGTCTTAGAATGATCAGCTGTTAAAAAATGCATTATTGTTGTCCAAATTTTTTTTTGCTCTGATTTTGGTCAATGACAGACATTTGTGTTATGATTTCTTGAAGAGTAATGAGATTTGTCCTTGCCATTCACATGTAGATTGATTTGCAATAAATGGTAGAAAGTCTTTAACTTACATTTCCTCAAATGCAAAAGTTATCTTCATACATTTTCAAAAAGATGAAACATATGACCTCTTCAAAGCTTTCACGCACCAATAATGAAGTGAATTTTTCATTATCTCATGACAAAAATCTTGAATATGACATCCAAGAGTCTTTGAAATATGAACAGCTCTTGTACCGTTTAATCAATCAAATTTACTGACTAGTAAGGGGGGCTTTAGAAGGTCTTTAATTAGTGGAGATGCCTTCATCACAGATAATCAGTTGATGACTGAGGTAATCTCTGTCAGAAAATGACATCCTTTGTCAGCTACAAACAAGATTTACACAGCCACACACTACTAAAAGCATCAATTTTAGGGAATCCGGCAGTACATTAAGGAACATAAAGTCTGGACAACACTTGAACATGGCAAACTGTTTGATAACTGTCTATGCTTTAAATTCACTTTCCAAGTACTACATTTTTGCAAACTATAATAATATTCCTGAATAAGAAAAGAAAACTAGAACTCGATTATGACAGATTTTTGTCTTGGAATTTAAAGTAAAGGATAAGAAATGATGCACCTTTTTAATAATTATTATTTTTTATTTCCAGATTCACATGAAGACAATGCCCACCTCCATATATCGATTACTGACAGGTCAAGAAACTCCCCATTATCTATAGCAGTGGCTCCTGACAGTGTATCATCCATCAGCTACATTTCCATGTTATCCCAGCTCACCTTCTGCTATTTATAGCTCATTACATTCCCTTGAATCTGCAGGTTGATAAGTTTTAAAAAGTATTAAATTGTTCTAAATCAGGTTGACAGCTTTGATGACATTTAAGCTGCTTTTACTTTGTCAATGGCACACATCTTTGTGACACTGTAAATCAAATGCGATATGAAATGTGCTATGTGTATTGTTAGAGAAAAGTAAAATAAAAAAATTCACAACTTAATGTTTACAAGAATCTCATGAACTGCAGTGTGAATTTGTTGTGAAGATCATATGAAAACACTGGAGAATTGCATGTGATATTTTAACATTGGCATTGTATGTTGCTGTGTGCTGCTGTGCAATAACAAGAAAGAGATGAAGTGATATGGTGATTTAACATTAATGTATGTGTGTTCCAAGTTTCATTTTATGGTGTACTAAACAATGTGTTTCGCCAATAACTTTGTGATTTTGATATTTATTGTAATGCCATTCTTATTTGAAATCCACCTTTGTTGTAATGTGACATTGTACAGCTGCTTGTCACAGAGCTCTTCAATATCAGTACATGTATAACATTTCTTATGTACCGCTGCAGCTTATTTGAATGGGCATTGACTTGAGTGCTCTCAAGATTTAAATTTTGACTCAATTTGGTATTCATAAAGATGGATATTGCTGAATTTTTAAAACTCTCCTGTTTTATGTGTGCAAGTAATGTTGCCCTTTTAAGAGATTGGTCTGAAAAGGCCAGGAGGTTTTGAAGGTTAAATTTTGTATAAGAAAAAAAATCTTGGTCAATTCTACAAAAAAGTTTTCTGGAGTAAATCAGGTTTCCACTCTTTAAAAATTGTTCTTTTATATTGCTCTCACTGAAAACTTGATGGAAAGTACAATATTAAATGCTACCATGAAAGGGATTTTTGGGTAATTACTGTATACAGGGTTATTTTTGCCCCACTTTATTTTCGCTCTTTAACGCTTGCAAAAAAATTGTGCCCTGTCTTAAATTCGTCCAGTCACAGTTCTGTTTAAGAAATTGTACTGTAATCTTTAAATTCGCCCAACCAATGGTAGGGCAAAAGGTGCGAAAATAAAATAAATTCAAAAATTTCCCTGTATACAGTATATTGTAAGGGAAATTGAATATTTAATTTTAACTCATATATTGAAGCAATAAGTTAGTGATACATTTATTGTTTATACCATTAATCATCTAGTCATACTGATTATTTAATATACGCATTATAAATATGTGATATGGATGTGATCATTTTTGAGCGTGTGAATTTTAATGTTATACAGAAGTGTGTGTTGATGCTATGCTTTCATGATGGTTCTGACTGTATGTACTGATGTATACATTTTGTTCTATTAAGATAATTACTCTGGAGACAAGGCTGAAGTATTTTATCTATTGAAACATGCTCAAGGTTGTGTGTAGTAAAAAAAGAAAACAAATTCTAAGATTGGATCTGATAATTTTGGCATCTTAAACCTGTACCTCTCATTTAGAGAAGCACTTTTTTTTTTCAAGTATCTCTTTGTCCAATGATGTATAAGTCTTACATGTACATAACACAGGCCAGAAAAACTTTATATACATTTTAGATTCAAATTCTTTTTGTATTTCATTTATATTTAAATTGAAATTATATCAATTAGTGACAGCAAAGGGTTTTATTTAAGGAATGAATTTAATAGCTACACATTTTATACAGTATAAACTGGGTTGGGGCAGTTTACGCTTCATAAACTGCAAAGCGGAGAAGAAAAAAAGATGATTGTTCTAACAAAATGACTTCAGTTTGTACAAAATTTGAATGTAACGTCAGGCGGATTGATACGTTTTTGACGCAAGTCATTGTGACGTAGGCAACCCATTTTATACGATATAAAGTAAATTTTTTATCCAATCAAATACAACGTTACAACCAGAATTAAATTATTTATAAACAGTACTGAAAAGTATGTTCCAAACTGAGTTGCAATTTTTCAAAACTGTCTGCTTACAGTTAAGACCTAGCTTATGGGCTCCAGTGAATAATTATGTGTTGCAGTTGTACTTCTTTTGACAGAGAATTTATCTGTTATTTATTATTAGAGAGATAAATATACATTGGTCTAAAAAATATCTCAGAAAAGACAATGGAGGAAATTTCATTATATTTAACATTTTGTTCAAGAGTGAATATATGATGGATTTTATAGTACTGTATATGAAGTTTGAAATAAATTCTTATTAAATTTTAAAAAAGGATACAGATACCTATTTAGGAAAAATATTAATTATATTTGTGCAGATAAAGAATTATATGGGCAAATTTATACTGTGTAAAAGTTAGTGTGAGAAGAAAGTTTTTTGTATATGACAAATAAATAAAATGAACTTGTCATTTTTCTTATTGGGTGAAGATTTGTCTTCAATTGAAAGATTGGTGCAGGCGTATAGCATCGTTTTTGAAAGGGGGGGGGGGGCAGCCAGAGAAATTTTTTTTATACCGACCTGAAGGTAGGTATACTTTTTCTCAGAGTCCACTACTTTCAGTACCAATTTTAGTACTACATTTTCGGTACATCAATTAAAGTGGGGGGCCAACCTATGGGCAGCGGAAAGGGCAAAAATTACCATAATGAGAAAACAAACAATTATTTTAATTTCAATGACCATATAAACTTAACAAATGATATACAATGCATAATCAACAGAACTTTTCGCGGAACAAATATACATTAAAGCAAAACCAACGACCACGTACGTAATAAACATATATGAATGCAAAACCAACGATCATCTTTGCAGAACAAACGTACATAAATACACGACAAACGAGAACAAGGTTAGCTTTTTTAAAAAAGCTGAGTGTCAGCCACTGGAATACAGAAAATTTGTTTCTTGTTTTGTAATGGTTTATGATTTGATCTATCCATCATGTTGTGTTCCTTAAATGTAATAAATGCCATTGTAAGAAAAGTTAAATTCTTGTAATCGTTTTCTTATTTGTAATATAGTGCTGTACATAATAATTATAAAGCTTGAAACAAATTGAAACTTGTTTAAAAGATATAAAGGACTTTAGAGGTATTAAAAGCTAATTAATTTGAAAAAAAAATGATTTTCTTTTTACATCATTGAGTAATTTTGTAAATAACAAAGAAAAAATCATGTTTAAATACTTGTTTATTTTGCATCGTGATCATTACAATGGTCTCCAAAAATTCTCTTCGGCGCAGACATAGACATCAGAGAAAGTTCATCTTATACAAAGCCACCATGGCAACTAAAATCACGTTAAATTCTATAAAAATGATACAGATTATGAAGAATAAAAAGTAGGTAGACTTTGTGTTAGATTGTTTTTAAATATTATTAAATAACCGTTTTCGTTTGCGCATTTCGAGGCAATGCATGATGTGGAAGGGGGGGGGGGGCATACTGTATGTATATTTTCAATTTCTAAGTTTTAGCATCCATTTTAGTGTTATTAGGAAAGAAAAAAATTGCTTCCAAAAAAGTAATGAACGCCATGGAAAACAATTTAAAATGGAAAATCAAAATATGTTTATACATGCAGTACGTATATATACATGTACACAAATTGTCTTAAAAGTTTGATGATGATGTCTACCATCATAGCAAAACTTTAGATTAAAAAGCTGGAATCCATCTCCCCCCTCTCCTTTCATTGGGGGGGGGGGGGGGCTGTCTATAAATCAGCACAGTTCTCTCAGCTATCGCATTTTCACTGTGGTCAATTTCTCACATGTGGGCGCGGTTCACGTGCACGCACAAGCGGCACTTATACGTCTATCATCATGTAAATCATAAGAATTTACTGTCTTACAGTGGTCTTCTGATGTTTTCAGATCTTCAATCATTAGAGTGAAAAGAAATTGATCTTTCTTTTTTTCACTATTTTGGGACCTTTGTGGCAAGTGTATTGTTGTGTAAATTCCGACCCGTACATGTCTTATGCAAGGTCGAGGGAGTCTTGCATCAGGTATCCAGAGGAATACACAATTTAAATCTTCGGCTTGCAATGGCGATTGAGGGAATCTTCTATTAAAATATTAAGGGGGATGTACAAGCCATATTGGATCTAGTCTGGTGTAAAATAAGAAATACCAAGAATGCGCTTAATACTCTACTAAACTAGCCCAAAGTTACTCAAAGTGCTAATGCACTAATTACCTACTGTTAGAGACCAAAATCAGTTAATAATTAAGTTTATTTTGTTTTAATTAGGAGGAAATTAATCATGTTAGAACTGCGCAGCTACAGCATTCACGAGATGAAAAATGCATTGAATATAGTGTTAGTTTGATTCATTGATAATATGGCTACAACCATTTGTTTCGCTTTTTTCTTGTCATTATCCATAATTCTTGAAAAGAAGAAGTCTCAATAAGGCATTATCTGTGGTCCCCGGTTACTCGTCAAATTTTAAACTTTCATTAAAAAACTTAAAAAGTTAATTATATTATTCTCTCATGTCTGTAGTATTTGCGTCAACGTTTAAAAATGTCAAATAATTGAACTAGACAACACGCGAAGCTGTGTTTTGAAGGTGGGGTCCTTTGATTTTCATGAATAACAAAAGAAATTTGTGACAGGTACCTACTTCTCGGCTTTCGTAAACATCGAGCGCAGATTTGTTCAAAGTCGAGATTAAAATATAATATGTATATTATATTTATACAGATTGTGTGAAAATATCTTTGTTGAACAACCTTGCGCTCTATGTGTTTTACTTAAAAGTATCATGATTTTGAATCTGTTTGGTGAGTACCTTTACATAAGATTAACCTCTTGTTGACCTGCTAAGAATAGATAATATGTCACGTGATTCCATACCGCCACAGGTGAATACCTCCAGAAAGCGTGTTTTCTCTACGAAGCGTCACACATGTAGCTCGTATTTGAAAAGTGCAGTCACCAGCTTTTATTTTTTTTAAAATTCAAAACAAGTATCTATAGACTTCGAAGAATATCACTCATGTTAAATTTCAAATGATGATTTTCATGGACATATTTCAATTCTCATACATGTAATCGCAGTTTTCCTGGGCATTGCCAACAACACAATAATATACGAGTAGATGTTTATAAATACACATTTAATCAGTTTCTTGCGAAAAAGAATATTCAAAGCAACCTTACACTTTTGTCACGTTTTTGGGTGCATACAAACTCGGAAAAACTTCGAATGTCTTAATGCAACTAAGTAGATGAATATTGAGTTTGAACTTCATTTACCTATATTGTGATATTTATTATTAAGAATCCTTATGAAGTATAATAATTATGTTTCTATTTTTCAACAACTTTTCTTGAAGTGATTAAAAATATGTATATTACGCGATTTGTACACGGCATGTATATGTTAAACATAAGTAAATCGGAATATTCATTGTCGCATTTAGAGCAAAATTAAGAAATATAAATATACATGTCAGGCATGTAGTATCAGGGGGAGGGATGACCCCTTCTTTTCAGAGATAAATCTTTAGTTCTCCCCCCCCCCTCAAAAAAAAAAAACTTTCTTACGCATTTAGGCTGGTACGATATGAATAAACACACATTGAAATTGTTGTTTTACTTTTCAAATAAAGCTGGGTAATAGTTTGATTATTCCCACTCCTACATAATCGATTTTTTTTCAAGTTTGGAAGAGCTTACCCTTTTTCTTTTGCTTTATTAAACTTCTTTTCATGTTATTGTTTTTTTTTTCTCAGCCCCCCCCCCCCCCAACAAAGGAAAGGAAGTATATTTCTGTGTGTATTTACCGTAATTTATTATTCGATCGCTTGTACTTTTTAAACTGTCATATGGAAGAAAATTAATGCAGTGGCTAATATATTTGATAGATGCATTTATAGATTAAAGATTAAAAAAAAAAGTGATTAGGGGGTTTTCAGACCAAAATACCCCAAGAAAAAAAAGGCCCCTCGCCCACGCCAAATTAAGAAGAAAACGAGTAGTGCAAGTAAAATTCAAGCTTATTGAATATTATTCTAACCCGGACATTGTTAATTATTTCTTACCTCACGCTACCGCTCACCATGTCTTCCTTTTATAGTACCTAATTTAAATGTCTCCGCCCATGTGTATGTAATAGAGAAACCGTACTCTTATCGAAAGAAAATGTTCCGGAATTTGTATGTGCGATAGGTGTTGAAAATTGGCTTTTATTTCTTGATATTCAAAGTCATTAATAATGATTGTACAAAATTTTAATCAGAAATACTTTGTTATACATCATGAAAATAAAAATTATACCATATCCTCAAGTATATTCTGTAAAATAAGGGCGAAAAAAGGGACCAAGCTACTATACTTAAGTGGAAAACTCCTTTGATTTTTCATATGGGTGTCTTCCTGAGGCCATGTGTTTATTTCGTCCGCCATTCCTCTGTCAAACAGAGTTCGAATAGCATTGGTTTTAGAATAAATGCGACCATAATAACATCAAGACAAGAAATTACTAAGTAATAATTATTATGTTATATTACTTACTACTTTTATTTGTTGCATTGCATCGTCTGATTAATGAAAAAAAGCTATTTTAACCCCACTTCAGCAAATCGGGAAAAACTGTTCTGTTTACAGCTCGAGTTTCCTCGATAATATTATTCCACTGAGCACGTGGTTGGCATGTGCTTATATCTGCTGTGGATAGATGCGTTTATTACCATGATTATATTTAATTTTTCATGGAACAAGTCTTGATGATTTGTTGGTTTCTTTAAAACTCAAGAAAAAAGATGAAACATGTCTTAAACATATGTGATTACGGCGGGTCTTTTTTCTGTGGCGATAGAAGTTATTTTCAAATGGGGCACTGCAAGGAGGATGCTTAGCATTTAATTTGAAAATGTTAAACAATATGCGGTGCATGAAAAACAAATTGTAAT